AGTTCCACCTCACCCATATGTGTGCCATAACATGTCCGAAGAAACTGACTAAAATAAATACAGTATCCCATTTACAAACAGAGCATTGAGTATAAGAGCAAAGAGATTATGCTTAACCTCATAAGAAATAAATTAGACTTTTGCAGAATATGGTACACAGTTCTGACCACTACACAGCAGAAAGAGCATGAACACATTGGAGAAAAGATTTATAAGAATGGTTCCAGGGATGAGAAACCAGCTGTGAAGATAAATTGGAGAGGAGAAGGCCAAGAGGAGAGTTGAAAGAAGTTTTCAAAATGACGTTGGGCTGGTCAGAATGGATAATGAGAAATTGTGAGGTTGTTGACTTGCTCACTGAGTTGGCATGTTTTCGTTCAGACGTTTCATCACCATGCTAGGTAACATCATCAGCGTGGCCTCCGATGAAGCGATGTTATTCTACTACACTTGGAATTTATACTGTCTGGTCCGTTATGGTTAGTACCGTCATTTTCGGTTCTGTTCAGTATGGTTTTGTATGTGGGGTCCAATTCTATATGTTTGTTGATTGCAATAGGAGTTGAGAACCAGTGCTCGAGGAATTCCCATGCATGTCTATGTTTGGCTTGGGCTACTATGGTTACTTTGTCCCAGTTAAACTGATGGCCTTCATTGACTGAATGTACAGATATTAAGGAGAGTTCATCGTGCCGTTTTGCTGCTAGCTGATGTTCGTGTATTCTGATGGCTAATTTCCTTCCTGTCTGTCTGATGTAATGTTTGTGGCAGTCATTACATGGTATTTTGTAAACTAAACCACTCGCTGCAACACACCAGAACTACACAGGAAAGAGGAAGAGCTCCTATACAAAATCTTCGCTATGAACAGATATCCCCACAACATCATCCGCAGGTGCCTACTAAACAGACAACAACAAGAGGACATCCTAATACACTGGCCACACTGCCCTTCATCAGGAACATATCAGAACTGACAACGAGATTCCTAAGACCACTAGGAATCATGGTAGTCCACAAGCCCACAGCCACTCTACGACAAACACTCACAACGATTAACGACCCCATTCCCACAACATGCAGAACCAACATGGTTTACAAAATACCATGCAACGACTGCCATAAACATTACATTGGACAGATAGGAAGGAAACTGGCCATTAGAATACACGAACATCAGCTAGCAGCAAAACAGCACGACGAACTTTCCCTAATATCAGTACACTTGGACAATGAAGGCCATCAGTTTAACTGGGACAGCATGGCCATAGTAGCCCAATCCAAACATAGACATACATGGGAATTCCTAGAGGCCTGGTTCTCAACCCATAATGCAATCAACAAACACTTGGAATTGGACCCCATATACAAACCCATACAGACCAAAACAAGAAATGACACCACTCACCATAACAGACCGGTCAGTATAAATTCCAAGTGGAGTAGGATAACATCGCTTCATTGGAGGCTCCATTGATAATGTCACCAAGCATGGTGATGAAATATCTGAACTAAAACAAGCCAGCTCAGCGAGCAAGTCAACAACATCACCCACAACCTGAGCTACAAATCTTTGCTAAAACCTTAAGTGAGAATTTGTACCCATTCTCCGGTTTCCTCCCATAGTCCAAAGATGTGCAGGTTGGGTGGATTGGCTATGCTAAATCAGGGGTTATGGGGATAGTTGGGTCTGAGCGGGATGCTCTTCGGAGGGTCAGTATACACTCAATGGGCCAAGTGGCCTCTTTCTGCATCTTGGGGATTCTACAATTGATAAAAGGTTCGAGAACCAGAAAGCATCAAAAGAAGAAAGTATTGTGCAAGAAAAAAATCTTTTTCACCCAGCGGGTATTTCGGATGTGGAATGCATTTCCTGGAAATGTGGTGGAAGCAGGTTCAAGTGAAGCGTTCAGAGGGAATTGGATGGTTATTAAAATTGAAACAATGTGCAGGATTATGGCTATGAATAGTTGGGAGAATGGCACTAAGTCAGAATGCTGATATGGAGAGCCACAATGGGCTGCACCATAATGATTCTGTGAGTTTTTGTAATATTTCACAACTATGGCAGCCAGTAACAGGGGTGACATAGTGGCTCAGTGGTCAGCACTGCTGCCTCACAGTGCCATGGACCTGGGTTCAATTCCACCCTTGGGTGACTGTCTGTGTAGAGTTTGCACATTCTCCCTGTGTCTGTGTGGGTTTCCTTCGGGTGCTCTGGTTTCCTCCCACAGTCCAAAGATGTGCAGGTGAGGTGGGTTGGCCATGCTAAATTGCCCATTGTGTCCAGTGATGTGTAGCTTAGGTGGGTTATAAGGGCTTGGGTCTGGGTGGGCTGCTCCAAGGGTCTGTGTGAACTTGTTGGGCCAAAGGGCCTGTTTCCACTCTGTAGGGGTTCAATGTGGTCACTATTAATGATATTGACACTGTAGTTACAATGTATTTAGGTAGTTGTTTTATCGTTAATTCTGTCCTCTGGAATACTCATCCAGTGATATACCTGCTGCATTACCGTCCCTATGTGTTCTCACCCGGAGAGTGTTCCCTCAGGATTCACTGTGTCCAGTCCATTCACAGGCACCTTGGGCCCATCTATGTCATTGTCATACTCGGTGTGATATCATCTGCTTTCCTGTTCAAACAAGGAGTCCTTTCAAACACACAAGAGACATGAGTAGGAGGAGACCATTCAGCCCATCAAGTCTGAACTGTTGTCCCAGAAGGAAAAACAAGTAAAAGTTGCAAATGATGCACAGTGATCCAAGTTGTATACCTCACAATAGAGCTTCAATACGACCAGTACCTTCATTTTAAAGCATTAGTGCATTTATTTTAGTTTCCCCCTTGGGTCCAATATGATAACGGCTGATTACAGGTTTCAACTCCACTTTCACCACAAACTCCTCCGATACCTCTGGCATGAGAGGCCAGAAATCTTAAACTGAAACATCGACAACCCTCTGGGGGCGGGGACAGGATTCCATGAATTTCACAAAAGTTTCCCCAATTTCTACTTCCTTCTCAAGCATTTACCAAGTGCCTTCAGACAGCTATTGGTTAATCTGTTTCACAAGTTCACAGCAGGACTTTATGAGGCAAGGCCCATACACACACACAGACACTGGAGGGGAGGCAATAGCCTAGTGGTATTATTGCTGGACTATTAATCCAGAAACTCAGTGAATGTTCTTGAGACTTCGATTCAAAGCCTACCATGGCAGCTGGTGGAATTTGAATTCAATAAAATAAAAGCTGGAATTAAGAGTCAAATGTTAATTATTAAGCATTGTCAATTGTCAAGCATTGTTGGGAAAAAAAATCTGTATCACTTTATTGAAGGAAATCTGCCATCCTTACCTGGTCTGGTCTATATGTGATTCTGGACCCTTAAATGCCCTCTCGGTAATTAGGGATGGGCAATAAATGCTAGCCCAGCCAGAGACACCCACATCCTGTGTATGAATACAAAAAATACATACACACAGATACTGACACACTGACACACACACACACACACACACACACAGACACTGACACACACACACACACACACAGATACTGACACACACACTGATACTGACACACAGAGAGACACACAGACACTGACACACACACACACAGACACACACAGATACTGACACACACACACAGACACTGACACACATACTGATTCTGACACACACACTGATACTGACACACACACACACAGACACTGACACACACACACAGACAGATACTGACACACACACACAGACACACAGATACTGACACACACACACACTAACACACAGACACACAGACACTGACACACACACTGATACTGACACACAGAGAGACACACAGACACTGACACACACACACACAGACACACACACACAGATACTGACACACACACACAGACACACTAACACACACACTGATACTGACACACACACAGACACACAGATACTGACACACACACACACAGACACTGACACACACAGACACAGACACTAACACACACACACACAGACACTGACACACACAGACACAGACACTGACACACACACTGATACTGACACACACACTGATACTGACACACACACTGATACTGACACAGAGAGACACACAGATACTGACACACACACAGATACTGACACACACACAGTTACTAACACACACACACAGTTACTAACACACACACAGACACACAGATACTGACACACACAGATACTGACACA